TAAAGGCTAGAAATTTCCGAGGGGTATGGGGGATGCCCACGAGAGGAATTTTCCACAGGGTTGTAAAAGATGGGATCGACCATACGAAACATACTTACGTGGATTATTTTGATTTGTAGCACAACAAAAATTAGAAATAGATGCCCTTTCGAGAAAAAACCCTGGGGTATCCAATCGATGGAAATCGATGATCGGAAAACCAATCGATATGAATCGATAAAATTAGTTAATTGGTATCGGTTGGTATTGGTCAATCGATGATCAATCGATAACCACACAAAAATCGTTCATCGATTGGCACAGGACCTCGAGACAGACGTCACGCACGCTACCTGTCCGATCATCCGCCATTTTTAGGAAGCCCTGAGGACGAAATTGGTAAAACAATTCCAACCCAGACTTCTCAGCGCAAAGAATATACCCTGTTGCACGCGTACTTGCGTGATTCTACAACGGAAGTTCATTCATTCATTCTTTATTTCCCATAAAGTTGATCTATAACTAGAACTTTAAATGCCCAAAATTATAGACAAAGCAACGACTTTAAAAAATTTACGACAGATTGAGTTTATTTTATTGAAAAACCTTTCTAGTATTTTCCTTGTTTCTCTGAGTAGAATTTGCGCACGAAAGCGATCTTGTGAACGAGTGGGAAATTACAACAATAAAGTGACAGTAATACGATGTAATGAGTCTGGTCCTTTTTATGACGTGAACAACAAAACTACTAGAATAATCGGTTAACAGTGTAATAAACGTATTGCTTATGAAATGTTAGGAGCCCAGAGCATCACAGCTTAACATGTCGAGTCATCACTATCGCTATCGGTCGGCTGGCTTTCAACTTCCAGTTGTAACAATTTTTTTCGAGCTTCTGTTGCTTTTCGTAGGGCATCTTGGGCCCTTCGTAGTTCTGCCAGCTGAGCATCTACGTCTTTCTCAATCTTATCCACTCTGACTGCGGCTAATTGAGCTCGTGAGATTCGTTCTATTACAGATCTAGGGATTTTTAAGCGCCATCTGAAAACGCACCTCTTTAGGGAAGCTTTTTATTAATTTTTAATTTTTATCACGATAATTACTAGTATTTTAACATATGTTGTATATTTTAATTTTATCATAGTATATTTTAGATAATTAGTAGTTAGATACCCTTTATTAAGTTATTATAGATAGAAATCATGTAATGCGCGCTTGATCATTTCATGGAAAGCGCGCAATATAAGAATTAAATTATTATTATTATTATTATTATTATTAATTTCCGTTCAGACTTGTTTGTACTGTCCAGAAATTCCTGCCTGGCGGTTGTTAAATTTTCTTGTGTTTCTCGCAAAGCAGAAACGGCTGCGTCAAAACGTTCCGTGTATGTATGTATGTATGTATGTATGTATGTATGTATGTATGTGTAAGATGACAGATGTGAATTAACATCAAACATTTTTTCAGCACTATAGCCAAGTAGGTTCTAAATAGAACGTTTATTGTAGAAGTTTAGAGGTAAACCTTAATTTCCTACAGTCCTTTCTTCTTTTTTATTATAAACCTTATTAAAATTCCAAAATTAATTTTGGCTGCAAACGGTTAAACCGTTCTTCTTAGAGCTGGTACTGGAATGTTTACAACCATGGTTACAAGCACAAGACGAGGCACTACTCTTTTTGTGGCTCACATTAAATTTAAGTGATGTCGTTATCATCATTAACATATTTGTGTTTATGCATATGTAAAATCGCCAAGGATGAAAGTCACTCATCAATTCAGCAGATGTGGGAAGAGCAGAAACAACACATTCCACGTATACAGGATGTTGATGACCCTGCCATTCAGTTGTACACCCAGACTGGTACATTGAGCTACCATCTACAGGTGTGCCCAAGGGTCAACATCATTGGAGTCATTCCATTTACACATTGACCGCTTCACTCCAGGTAAAAAAAGAATGGCAAATACACAAAATCCTCTCCTTATAACATAATTATTTCCCCATCCTCATTAATAATCACCTTCACTAAAAAAAATTGTTGAGGAAAGAGATATAAAGAGATGTATGCAGATGCATTACATTCTAACTACTGTCTGTTTCTTAAGAAGTTATACTGAAAAAGAAAGCAGTCTTATACAAAAATAACATTTGAATTTGGCATTTATTTTAAAAGCTTGATTTTTTTACATGTAGTTACAGTAGCCAATGATAATCCACTTCAAGTGCTATCAACTCGAGGGCATTACAGGCTGGAATGAAGACAGAGCTTCAGCAGCCTTGATGGATGGGGGTAGAAATTCACAAACAAGCATTTATTCTTCTTCGGTAAAGCATGAAATTAACTCTTGAGTAAAATGGTGTATGCTGAAGACCTGCAAAAGAACTTTTGACCATCCTGGCAAGTACTCAGGTAACGTGGGTTGTTTATCTTACACACATTGATGCCTTCATAACTTAAGTTGTTACGCTAAGAAATTATGGCAAATGAGGATAAATATAAAGACAAAAGCTATTATTTTCAATAAAAGTGGGAAAATATTTAGAAGTAAATTCAAGCTAGGAAACTAGCCAGTCCAAGTAACACAGTTACGTCTACCTTGGGATAACTTTCAGGCCTTCTGGTTCTGTTTCACTGGCCCAGAAAAAGCTATATAAGAACACCACCAGGTCTCTTTATAGTTTCCTGTGAGAGGTAAATATTTACAATGGTGCATCTGTCTCAACAGTTCTTAAACTTTTTTATTCTCTTGTGAGCCCAATCCTTCTGTACAACTGTGAAATTTGGGGTTGTTTTTTTAATATCAGTCGGGAATAACTATGACAAATTTGTCTCGAGAATTTTTGATGAACGAATAACACCCGAGAGTATGCATAACAACGTATGCAAAATGGCCTTAAGGGTTCACTCTAAAGCAAGTAACCATGCTGTGAAGGGAGAGCTCGGATGTTTTCCTCTTCATCTTATTACTTACACTAAAATTTTTAAGCACTTCTTAAGATTACTTACCTTACAAAATAACCAAATTTTAAATAGCGCCCTAGAGATAAACATCCATTTTAATAATGTAGGTAAGCATTCATAGTTTGCTACTGTTAGACACCTATTACACTTTACCAGATTAAGTGATTATACTCCAAATCTGACACATCTTGACTACAGGAGATCTCACCTGGTTAGAATGTTAAAAAGAAATTTGTTTAAAGAATACCAGGAATATTGGTTGAAAAGTCTGAACAAGGATAAATTCGACTCCTGAGTTGGAAACAAATTAAGCCTGTATAGTGAAGTGAAAAACGAAGTCACATTTGAATCTTATCTCGATTTAATAAACAACGTTAAGACAACAGTGGCAGTAACCAAAATGCTAATTTCTTGCCACTTGCTACCTAGAAGATACCCAGAGTTGAGAGGCTTTGCTCCCTTTGTAATAGATCCGAAATTGGTGATGAATTCCACTATTTGTTGAAATGTACCCACTCATCACTTTCTCATATAAGGGGTATCTTCTTGGACAGCCTATACACGATAAACAGTAATCTTACGAATATGTCTTGCAAGGCACTATTTTTATATATCATGTCTATGTGCGATGAAAAGGGTGTTACAAAAACTAAGACCCTCGAAAACTAAGACCTAAGACCCGTCTTAGTTTTCGAGATTACGAAAACTAAGACCCCCTAAAATCGATTATGTACGACGTTTTAGAGGCCTATGCGATTCTTAAAGAAAAGATGATGGTAGGGTCCTCTGAATTCTCTGAAGAGCTTCCTTTTTTGGACCATGTCTTTTCCTGTGAAGGCAGACGTAAGCTTCACTCGAAGCTGTGTGAGCGTGGATGCAAAGACTTCTTCGCGATTTTCACCAGTGATCCTTTTGTTTTAAGCATTAGATGTTATGATGGCCACCCCTTCATCATGGACACTCACCCAGTCACACTGGAGCCTGGAAAAGGCAACGGCCTTTTACTGATAGGAAAACAAAATTCACGTGAATTGTTGCAGAGTCTGTGTGTGTGGTTGTGGTAGCGTTTAGACCATGGGGTGTGAAGCCCGGCACATGTCAATCACTTGCAGTTGCGTCTCCAAAAACCAGGTAAGTGCATTGGTTAATAAATTTAAGTGGGATATATATTTTTAAAATAAAATTTGTACTGACTGATTGTTAGTGTAAACATCACACTTGTCCAAGTCATATAAATTGACCCCTTATGACAACTTCCTGTTTTCTGTGATCATTGCGAGTCGCATGAAATACCATTCTAGTTAAAAATTCTGTAATTGATATTAATCAGAAGGATATGACGATCTGGTTTTGCAATAGTTACAACTAACAGTTAAGACCGATTCGCGAAGGGTGCTTCACGCGTTTTGATCAAATTATTCGCACCTTATTTACTGGAGAATGCAATTTTTGGTGGAATTTCCATTTTCCGTTTTAGTTCAACCTCGTTCTCTCTCACTCCGTAGGGACGGGTAGGAGATGACCCTGGGAACAAGGTTGGTTTAAGTTGACAATTTCATTAAAGCGATAAACTTCTGTGTTGCTGCAAACAAAACCTACATTAGGCGTTAAGAACTTTGTGGGCAACACTTATGTACCAGTCAATTCCAAAATCGCCCATCTTCAGGGGGAACACCCTGGCAGTTGACTCTTTTGAATAATTTTGCTCCCAAATCGCCCACCTACTAGAAATATTTCGAATCTCCCGTAAGCAACTACCCAAAATAAAAAGACTTCATGGTCGCTTACAACAATACCTTTAAATATCCAGATTCACAATTTTCCTAATCAGCGTGCGAAACACTGTTTTGCTCTTTTGGTCTGCAAAAAGTAGTCGGTTTGCGAAAAAAAAAAAAAAGTGAATTCTGTGAAGGGATACAGGCTTTATATAGAAACAACATTGAGAGAAAATATGATCCCGGAGTACTCAAGGGGCGTAGTTATGATATTTCCTCCCAAATAACCGTCCGTCAATTTAAAAGTCGTAACGCCGTCTCAAAATTAACGTTGGTCAGTTATCCTTACATATTATTTTTAGTTAGGGTAAGAGTGTCTGATGCAAAGTCTTAGTTCCTGGTGAAGAAACAAGCAGAAAGTGTCCCACTGACAGCTGCTCCAACGATGAGGTTCAGTGCTCTGTTACAGAAGACAAGGATAGGGATTTTCAACCGCCTGTTATGCGAACCAAGCGTCGTAGAGATGATGACGAACACTCAGTAATAAATCTTATCCCGGATGATAGTAAGCGCCCTCGAAAAGATCTTGGGAGCGTAAACCTGATCACTGCCTCTCAGGCATCAGCAGTTGTGTCACCACAGACCGAGTAAGTTTACCTTTGACGTATGCAAGCTAATAGGATGAGATACATAACGGAACAGATCAATATTTCTGATTAAGATGGGAGGGGCTTGAACATATTGATGTGTATAACTCACCAATTAGTTTGCACGATGTTACTGGCTATTTTATGTCACGTGGTGGACTGGCATCAGTTAATATATCTTGCCTTCTGCGATATTTGCCCTCCGATTATTTGAGAATATTGTTGAGAATGACCCTAAGATACACGAAGAATAGCCAATACCACCTACTGATTAATTTGAAGGCAAACAAAGCTTGTCCCTCTCTCGTGCGATCAACCTTTCCAATGAAAGATTCCTCTCACACAATAGTAAATGGAGTGGCCCTGTTACAGTACCACATAACGTCTGGAGAAGAGCAGGTGGACTTTCATGTTGGTGTCCATGGGCACAGCAGTAAATTCTCAAAGGCAGCCTTTCATCCTACAGCTAAGAGCACGCTTCAAGGTTTGAAACAAAAAGTAGGCAACAATGCACCCTCTCAAGTATATAAAGTTGTGTATGATAAAGCAGGAGGTTCTAGTCAAGCCAGGATACCAGGAACCTTACCACGTTCCAGAAAGCAGGTATATGATTTGCAGTTTAGAGCTAACAAGGAAAACGATCCAGTGGAAGATTTATTAGTTTATGCCTGAATGAAGGACGAAACAGTTGTCTCGCGACATGAAGATTTGCCAAATGACCTTTGGGTTCTGGGAACGAAGGTGATGTGCAATGATCTGGGTCGATTCACGTCATCAGACAGGGTAGGCCATCTGTGTTGATCTAACTTTCAACATGGGTCAATTTGAAGTAACTCCAGTTGTATGCAAGCACTTATTTCTAACTTCCAAGAGAACTGGAAAGACGCCTGTCTTTCTTGGCCATACCATGATTCATCACAGCAAAGACTTTCCAGGAGCGAATGGGTTAAAGGATAAACAACAAAATTAAAGACCAATAGGGGTAAGACATATTTTCAGTGAACAATAGATCTGTAGGAAGTCTATGGCTTTGGTCCTCTTTTTTAAGCGAGTCTTCAAATTGTTAGCGGATCGTAGATCAGCACGCGTATGATAGTAGTTTTTGTTTGTCTTACAGATTATAGTCTTCAAACGGTCGTAATTCGACTTTGTAGAAATTTTAGAGATTGTTTTGGTGGGGGTCTTAGTTTTCGTAATTTATCGCTAAATTTGACCTAAAACTCGGTGGAAAGGATCGAACATGATATAATTTGACAGATCAGACCTATTTCTGTTACAATTTGACTTTATATTTAGACGGATTCAATTTTAGGGGGTCTTAGTTTTCGTAATCTTGAAAACCGAGACGGGTCTTAGGTCTAAGTTTTCATAACACCCGCAATGAAAACATCATAAATCACAGTGCCTCTTATATTGGAAATATTCTAAATTGTTATGCATCCGAACTCTAATTAAATTTTCTTACCATATGAGTAGCGTTGAAGCCGTACATAGCCAAGTAATTTTCTTTCATGATATTACTCAATTGTTCCTTTTTTTCCTTTTGTCATTGTTTTGGTACTGAATTCTTCATGTCGAAGATAAAGTCAATAAAGTTGTAGTATTAACAGGTTTAAGTTAACAGATAAATAGTGCTGTGTCTACTAAGTGTACCCAATGTATGAGCAATCTGCGAGCCGCTGATTTCCCTCTTCAATAAGTATAATATTTAGAAGGTTGCAGTACCTAAACCTCATAAAACCCACATACCAATTTGAATTGTTCTTGTAAAAATTTAGGTGGGAAGATCGGGGTAGAATACAGCCAGACACGCAAGAATTGGTCTTCAGATGTCAGTTGTCTTGATTCAAATGAACCTGATGATCTGACTGATGAATCCCTCAAAGAAGATTTTGTAAAGAGTGAAGAGCTGGATCCCACTATTGGTGACTTGGAGCCATCTTCTACAAAGCGGCAGCCTTCAAGTGCGATCACTAGTATTTTAGACAATTAAAATTGATGGAAATTTGTGTATATTTGAGTTAAACGACAGTCTTTCATTTGAACTCCTTAGGAACCTCCTTTATTTTATTTTAATATTGTTTTGGTTCTTCTTCATTCCAGCTGAGTCATCTAGCCTGGAAGACAGCTCCACTACTGACGTAGAACCACCATCAAATGACGTACATGTACCTTTGATACTCAGCTGCAGGTAGGAATATGAGTCAGAAATTATTTTAGCCTGGCCAATCGTGACTTCATTCTTTCTTCTAATTTCCTCAGTGACAATATCATTTCTATAGCGACAGCGTTTTCTTATCCCTGCCTACGTTGCTGTAGGAGACAATTGGTCCTCTAGGGTTCTTGGTTGGGGGCAGATCCAGGAGCTTACCAATGTACTATTTGAGCTACGAGATTGCACGGCCCTAACAGAAACCCAAGTGAACCACCTGATCAGGTCGTAGAATGCACTCCCTACTGCACTCAAGAAGGCAAAAGGGATGTACCGTCCACTTTATCGTAGTGATAAAAGGTACAGTGGTAGATTCATGTAGAAGAAACAAAGTGTAACTCATACACAGAGAGTGACACCTGGAACAGTCAGTCTAAAAAGGTGAACCCAATGGATAGTTGTACAGTTCTAAAACATGATTACTAGGGCAAAATAATTAATACATAAAATATAAACAATTCAGATTTGACAATGATATTTTTTTCCATATCTATAAATACAGGACAAAGGAAAATATTTTTTGTCAATTTGTGCTGACATTTTTTTGGTATTATTACTTCAGTTTTTTGGAGGGAGTGGGGCAGGAAAAGGGGGGTATGGGGTAACTTGTTAAAACACGCAATATTGCCAATAACAGGTCACTGGTAAAAAGCAAAATAAACTTTCCATTTCACATTCCTTCTGCCTCTTAAATGCTGACAAGACTTTCTTCAAATTTATGTTTTTTTTAGGGCAATGGTTGGTGGAAACTCCTGTCCTGCCAAACATGTGGATGCGAGCCCCTTGGTGGAGGGGCATGATGGAAAAAGCATTTCTAGGTGGAGACTTATCTTAGACAAGCACCAAAACATCAAGAATCTTGTTACCTTGCATGACCATCTTATGAGCTCAACCAATCTCAAATACACGAACTGAACCAGACTAATAAGCAAAATTTTCACTTTATGATTTCATATTCAATTATAATATATTGGTGACATTATTAGCAAAAATAGGGAAAATTTTCCATGCTTGGCAGATGCAACACAGTTCCCTTCAAAACCCCTTCCCTTCACTTATAAAATTATGCCTCAAAATGCATTACAATGGGGTTGCTTGCACCGGTTTCTCTCCCTTCGTAGAGTAGCGTCAAGCTTGGAGAAACCACTGCTCCCACGGTACATTTATTGTAGCTTTTTGCATGTATAATCCTGTTTGTTGTAATAATTTAACTGAGGGAGCCCATTCGATATAAGCCTGGTGCTTTCCCTTGGGCTTTCTCGCCATTAGCTTTTTAAATATTTAGATTATCTTCTTTTGGTTTATCTTATGGCAAAACATTAACTGAACTGAAATAAAAACATTTTATTGTAACAATACTACTACTTTTGTGCTTGTCTGATACCGTTTTGTCTACAGGTCTAACAAAAGACAGAAAACCATACAAACCAGGGTATTGATCCAGTCCCTCCAACACACTGCAGCGGTTGAGTCTTCTGAGCCACTTCCTCTGGCAAGGCCACTTTTGTCCAAGCCACCAGCCTACCTAGCTCGAACGCCACATGACCTGCCTACCAATGGAAAGATCTAAAGCTGTACCTCCAGCTGAAGGGATGGTCCCTCTATATAACATTTCCACTGTTATACCACACTTTACAACCAGCTTAAAAGGGCAGCTGAAGCAGACACGCCTTCTAGTATTGAAGCTGCAAGCAAACAGAAGTACCAGAGGTCAACTACTTTCAACGTCTGCAGACACTACCACCCGCCTAAAACGAAAACGTTTGGCAACAGTTGCCATGTTGGCAGATTTGGACTAGAAACCATCTGTCTTTTATAGAGGGAAAACCATATCCGAGTTTGGATGTCTGGCTACAAGAAAGGCGAAAGGAAAATTAAAAACAAAAAACGAAAGAAAAAAACTCTACAAATTTTTATTCTTATCTATGAAATTGGTTTTGCAAATTAAACCAAAGTATCATGACTTTGATTTACAATCTACAAAGTTACTAAGATTACGATATTTCCCTCTATCAGTGTGACAGTGTTTCATTGTAGCAATGGGGCCTACTTGTGCTCTTCAACAAGTGCACGACTGGTAAATCCATCACAGAATTAGTTACCATAAATAAACCATTCAACCTTGACCCAATTTTACTTTTGCAAAATTTGGAGATTAGACAAGAAAGGGTGCAACGTAAGGTTATCGATCAAATCCTTAGATACTTAGGTTTCATAATGGACTGCTACATTAAAGCCATTCCACACGCAATTTCCATGAGACTTTTTATAATACTTTTTTACTGTAATTAGTTATGGCCATTACATTTTAATTCAAGACTTAAAGTAGCTGTAGTTTATTCTACCATACTTCCAGTAGAATGTAAAAGCTGACTATGCACTTGTAATGGATCTCACACCTTACTTTGGTAAGTTTGAGTTAATTAAACAACTTATATGTAAAAGATTAGCATGACCCCTGTCCATTTTAAGCATTTTCATCTATTTTTTCTCTTATTTTGTTGCATTATTTTATTTTTCTTACTTTTTTCTTATCTCTCTGGTGGGAAGATTGTGTAGGATTTTTCGTACTTGTTTTCCCCAGCCTTTTTCAAATTTTGAAACAAACGAAACAATTGAAAATTTTGGATCTAGGGCATGCGTGATAGTATCAATGCTTCAAAGTGTGAAACATTTGGAAGAACAAAATGGATAGAGATAGTGTCTTGGTTATTTTCAAGTGTATTTGTTGTAACTGAAGAAGCCCGTTAAATAATTAAGATTTTCAGGTATGTGTGAGAACCATCTGTCTGGGATATTATTCAGTTTGATTACATTCTTTGTTTCAAACCACTCAACGATGAGGTCAAAGGTGTCGAAGTGCTTTGTTGTTTGGAATGAAATTCAAAAGCCTTAAAGAAAGCTATTGTAACAATTTTCTTTAAATGACTGGCTGTTCTTCTTGACTATGATTTGCTCTGTCATCACACCAGTAATCATTGTTAATTTGCCTCTCTTGGTGTCTTTCAATAACTTCTTATACTACCTAGCAGGAGAATACACGGATTGCTATAAGTGCAAAGGCACCTCCATCTCAACTTCATTCCCACCTGCACGTGGTTCTTAGCTTGCTACGTAAAAGATGTCTGGGACAGACTCCCAATGCTTAAAGCTCCCATGACCTCAGTGTATGGAGAAATCCTGATAATTGACTCAACTAAAATGGGGCGTGGGGTGCCACAGGGTAGCATTCTAGGGCCTCTGTTGTTTGTGATTTACATAAATAATTTGCCAAATGTGCTTAACTCCTGCTATGCGTCACTTTATGCAGACGACACTGTAATTTATTGCTATGGTACATCCTCAAAGGAGTTGAGTGATAAGTTAAATAACGATCTACTGGGTGTGGCGAAATGGCTTCATGATCACAAACTGACTTTAAATTTGGACAAAACTAAATGCATGCTTATCGGTAGTTACA